CCTGTAGCTGACAGGTGGCATGTACGTACATGCCATGGCTGTTGTGAACCAAAAAACGGATGGCATCGTATCATGCCCATCCCCATGCCACTGGCTCATCGGACGGAGTTTGTTTTTCTCTGATAGTAGCGGCTTTATTCAAATGGCACCTATAATGAAGGTAAACCTTCAAAATTACAATATTTTTATAAATTATAGCAAAATAGAAGCTTTTAGGTGCCAAATGTAGCTCGCAAACTACCAATCGAGCTGGGTGCAAAAAGGGAAAACTGCTGATGCAAGCCAACAATCCCGTTAGTATGTCCACTTCCCAAACATTTTTACCCATCAGCACTGGGATAAGTAATGCCAAAGTATTAATATTGGTATGAAATGAAGAAAAATGGACATGGTACTACCTGGCATTATGAAAGAATTGAAGGCATATCAAATAGATAAGTCTATATTGGACTGTCTTTGAGACAACAGGTTACACTACCAAGGCTAAGCATAGGATATGTACTCATCAAAATCGAAGCTTAAAAAATAAATAGAATATAAAATAATAATAGGAAATAAATTCATGCAGAAATAGGAATAAAAAATCTTACTTATTTCTGGCATAAAAATGTTTTCCCAGTAACTTTGGCAGGAGTTCCATAATGCAATCTTGACCGAGGACCACCTGGAACCGATTCGCTAGATTTCTTTTAGCTTCAAATTCTTTATATTCCATTCTTAATTGCTTCAGAGTTATAACCTGAAAAAAAAGTTAGAATTATCTATGAGGCAAAATTGAACATATAGTTTATTATGATGATCTTAGTTTTTTTCTTTTTTTAAATTAACCCACTTGTGCTGGGTGTCACACACATGTGACACCCAGAATATGGACAATGGCCAGCTGTCCCACCAGTGCGACGTTAGATTTTTATCCACAATCCCCACTGGCTAGGCCAAAATTAACACTGAACTTACAAAACATTTGGTAAGAATATTTTAGGAAAACTGGTCCAATGCCGCCTTTGGCTGCACATACCAATGATCCAACATCAATGGGTTAATGCAAAACAGTGAAATTATCTATAATCAATGGGTTAATGTAAAATAGGGTAAAATTATCTGGCATCAATGGATTAATGTAAGACAGGGTGATTGCTATACATATTTGACTATTATTACAAAGCCATTATATAATTACACATATCATATATGTGATGATTATTTCAAAACCTCGTTATACAATATATACTTTCAAATACATACTTCTGTAATGTAATGTGCTGCTTCCTTTTGTATGAGTAACTCTTTGAAGTGGTTGAGTGTTTTCTCATAGTCAGGCCCACGTTCACAGTCAAGCATTCTGGTTATGAGCAAGACATCTGTGTCTTCACCCAATATAGGATGTGGCAAGGGTCTGAAATCAATATTGGTAAGGATTCAAACAATTTTCCTATGAATTATCAGAAGGATATATATCAAACTAAAGACAATCATATACAGATTTCTTTTCCTATCCCCACTGTTTACAAATCTGTAGTTACTAGAAAAGAAAGAAAGAAAAAAAGGACACAACCAAAACAGAAACACAATAAAATACAAACATTTTGATGGTCAATGGTGATCGTTTATCTTTATTTTTGGGCACTTTGCATAAACTGACTTGCAGGCAAATGTGCTGATCACTGTCTACTTCTAACAATTCTTTAGATTCAGCCAATAATTTGTTGCACAATTTTCGGACACCTGCAACAGCTGCTTGCACCTGTGAAGTTCAAAGAGTTATACTGTAAGTCACATGTATGTGAATCTAAAGGCTAAAGCCTTTATGTGTAAAAGCAAAGCCCAAGAAACTATCTCAATTTCTTTCTTCACCTCTCTCTCTCTTACTAATGCGATGGAAAGACCTTTTTTCAAATGAAAAAATCTCTTTGTATATATTTACTTATATAGAACAAAAGTAACACATAAGATTATTTACCTGGATCTCATCTAATTGAGAAAGAGCCTTCTCTTTTTTCACTTTACTTTCCTGTGCCGATTTATTCTGATTCTTGTTTTTTTCCCCGCCTTTTGACTTGTTTTTGCTTGCCTTGATTTTGTGCTCCCACATCTTTCTTTTCAAAAGCCTCTCCCTTCTAGCTTCCTTGGATGACTTTTTGCAATTGTTGTCAAACCAGGTTTTCTTCATCACACATCTTTTTGGCCATTCCTGAAAGGGAATGTGATGTTATAATAAAGTTGTTTTTATCTTATGTAAATCTGTGAAACAAAGAAAAAGGGAGGAAGAGGATAATCCAACAGTGACAATGCAATAATGGCAAGTTGTGACCTCATACAAAAATCTTTGGGGGAAAAAGAAAAAAGAAAACTCAACCAAATCAAAGAAAATAAAAAAAACTACCATGCATACTGATAAATGGTGGCAAACTCAACCTTTTAATTATACCTGAAGTATACAGGCTATAAAGCTATTACACTGCCATACTTAATTTACTAGTAACAATTTATGACTGGTAGTTCAGAATCTGTATGGAAAAAAAAAAAAAAAATACTAGTATCAAATATAAAATGCAATTGCAAGGGGTTGTAATTGATAATCACTCACACTTAGTTTAGTTCATCTATACTATAGCCTATAAAACATACATATCACCAGTTCAGTTCAATACTTAATAAGATTTTGTTACACAAGAATAAACATTAATTGTTTACAATAACAGATATGTAACAAATACTGGATTTCTACATAATAAAATCCAAAATGCACACATTTTAGAGCTTACTTAACCCATTGGCGCCGGGTGTCACGTACGTACATGCCATGGCTGTTGTGGACCAAATGCCAGGGGCATAATGCCATGCCCATTCCCGCGCTACTGGCTCGTTGGACGAAGGTTGTTTTTCTCCAGTAGTAGCGGCTTCATTTATATGGTAAAGATTTTAGGCAATGGCACCTAAAGTGAAGGTAAACCTTCAAAATTTTAATATTTTTATAAATTTTAGCAAAATAAAAGCTTTTAAGTGCTATATGTCGCTCACAAACTACCGATCGAGCCGGGCACAAACAGGGGAAACTGCTGGTGCGCGCCAACAAGCCGGTGCATACGTAAACTTGACAAAATATTTACCCGTCGCTGATGGGTCAAACATGAATTGGTATGGCGATAACTGTCTCACTCTCAAGTGGTACGTTTGTTGAATGTATCTTTATGGTAGGCTGAAATTGTGTAACGTGTTACATTCTAATGTATATAGTATACTATTTTGAGCATACATAATCTGGGGGGGGGGGGGGGCTTGGGGACTTGCCCTGGTAGACAAATACTGCTGGGAAAGGGGGTCCAGGGGCTTGCTCCATTTACTGACTAGAAAGGATTGTCCCCTCCAATTCAACTCCAATTCCTCATGGGTACCCCAAGACTGAAGAAAGAATTAATACAAAATCTAGACGTGGTGGTATTTGTAGGAACGACCAATTATGTTAATATTCATTTCATAAAAGCTGGCACTAAACTAACCTACTCCCTCACTCACTCTCTCTCTCTAAACAGTTTTGCCAGTATTAGAGCAGTCACTTCAGAAGAGATTGACAAGTCCCTCATTACAAGAAAATGCTCACATCGAAGTAGGAAAAAGCCTTGACAAATGCTTTAACATGGTAGAATTTTGTAAAAGAAATTTTCTCCAATAAATAGATTTTCATGCTAATATTTAAAAATTCAATTTCTATACCACAGTACTCTCATGCTCTAATCCATTCTAGCTGTTGTACAAAAATGTAAATAAACACAGCATTGCTGCTTATTTTGTTGTTTATCAAAAGCAGGTATACCAGACATAACTGCAGGCAAATTTATATTCTGGATTGTTTACTTATTTGACAAAACACCACTGGGAAAGGGTACCTTATGGAAAAAAAAAACTCCCCCTCTATCACCTGTCCTACATAATATTTTTGATTTCCAAACTTGCTCTACTGTGTGGATTGCTTAATTTCTAAACGTTTTTTCAGCATTTGGGGCACCTGATGGGCTCTGATATCAAACCCAGAATCGACGCAACACAGAACACGAAACATTTCTCGCCAGCCTTCTTTCACCGAATGGCCAGGAATCCTCCTGTCAAAATCACGCCTGAAGATGCATATATGGGCATAATGTTCTGCTGACCGATTCTCATACAAAACTGTACACACAAATCTTAAAACGGTATAACAACATTAATAAAGGTCGTTGAAAGCAAAGTATGTAGTAACACATGAACTACTTTGCATATCACAGTAATGAGTTCTGTGGTCAATCCAGTGTTTACTCTCATCATGTAAACAAGATGATTGACTCAGCTGAAATTGGGCTCTCACCTGTGTTAATTTATATATAGACTGATTTGGTGTGACATCACGAGTCGGAGTCACCGTTCCACTTGGTGAAAACAAACCCGTCGCTCACAGATGCCTTGCTATCAGCATAAGCGAAAATGGTATATGAATGCTTTGATTCTTTAATAAAAGAAGCAAAAAAGCGATATGAAGCATAACTAGAAGCTGTGCAGCTAAAAAAGTGAACATACCGTCTATCTGCCGAAATTGGGATTGACGATCCCTCAAAATATTAAACATCCCGATATCTAAGAGTATTTGATCTACACCAGGCAATAAAACTTATTTTATGATAACATAATTTGTTTTAGTAATCTATGATTTTCAGCTATATAGATTTTTTCTCTGCAATCAGTGCTATTTCCTAACATAACTTTTCTTCCTATTTAATAGGTGTTTATACAAAGAAGACAACAAAGTTACGTAAAGGCCTATATACGCACAACGCATTTTTCTCTCTCCTCAATAATTTGAGAAAGGGCCTCTTCAGTTGTTTCATCTGCTGGACTATATGACATTACAAACACAGAAGCAACAAGAAACTTTGATTTCTTCTGAATGCTTGGTATCTCCTTACCTAGGCTTCTTTCTTTCCTTTTTCCAAATCTTTTTTAACAGTATAACTGCTTTTTGTTTTCATCTAAAGGAAAATGCTTGGGATAAAGTCTGGGTGAGTTGGATCGGAGGATGGTTTACCTGTATATTAAACTTATGATAAATCAATTTCTTACAGAAAAACGTAAAACTGCTGTTGTGCTTTTTGGAGTGTATAACTGCTGCCAAAACCTAATGTCGGCAATGTTGACCTTGATGTTGACTGTGTAGATAGACAGAGATTGAAAGCAATTATCTGTCTCTAGAATTTGAAAAGGTGTAAAATATTTATAATAATAAAATACACTGACTAGATGTAAACATAGTTTCCAACAGTTTCCCAAGCACTCCCATCAGCGTTCATGCATTTCATGGCCTGTACCCATCGCTTCCATTTTTCAGGATTCTCTTTGCAATCTGGGAATATATGAAAGGTTAAACCTTTCTTTCCCATTTCTTTCGAACAACCAGCTCCTCGGTATTTTAACGCAAAGAAACTAAATTCTCGGAAAAATTTGGTGACTCTAAGCAAAGCACAGTGATTTTTCGAATGAATGAGGGTTTGTTTTCACTAAGTGCTCGTTGCTTGGAGCGGTTGCTAAATGTTACTGAATCAGTCTAAACCATCTTTGGGAAGTATTTGCACAAATATTGCCATAAAAGAAAATTGTCTTGGTTTTATTACCCAACTCCACCACTACCTTGTATTGCATATTGTCCAACAACAAGAATAATTGGTAAGCTGCCTGTGATTAACGGCTGGTTTGTTAAAGCAGTATGAGCCTCGAACCAATGAATATTAGTATATACAAACATTCATATAGACAGAAATAAATGTATATCTATCAAATATATATATATATATATATATATATATATATATATATATATATAATATATATAATATATATATATATATACACGGGTAATTTTCTATATTACCTTCGCCTCTCCAATATCGACAATTTTGGTATCGTTGGATTCCTCTCACTGTCCACATTACAAATATAGTTTTCATTGTGTGGAAACCCCCTGTTAGCGACAAACTTGGTCCTAATAGCAAGGGAGGGTAAGGAGGGTTCCAGGGAAAATGCGGGGTTAAATAACACTAATAATATACAAACTGTGAAAATAACCATGGTTAATCACATGACTTTCCATTGCAGGGGCTGTGCCCCTTGCGACCCCCCTGTGGGGGCGGCAACCACCGCCGAGGAAACAAAACCTCCACCACGTATTCCCAGCAGGCTAGCCGTTACAAAATTATCGTCGATCTCGGAGTGGCGGACATATTACAATTACCTCATAACATTCCCACTGAATCAACATACTAACCTTGACATAGTCAGCATTGTATACAGAGACAATTGTAGTATAATTAGGATGAACAGGGCATACCATGAACAGAAAAGCACCCTTGTCGGCGGGTTTTGCGCCTTTCTCGATATTACACTGATGGCCTCAAGGCCGCCGCGATGACCGAGTGTTGAGGGTGCTCCTACTAGATTATGGTAGGGGTTATTGGCTCCGCATCTAGTTCGTGTACGCTCTATCCTACCGTGAATATGTGGATATTTTTGCTTCCTCAGCGGGTTACCGTGCAATAAAACCTACATATTTGGATTGTACAAAGTGAGAGGAATCCAACGATACCAAAATCGTTGATATCGGAGAGTCGAAGGTAATATAGAAAATTATCTACATTTGTCTATCTATCTATATAGGAAATATGCATGTCAAGACTGATAGATATGTATCTATTTCTGTAAATATGCAAGACTGTAGAGTATTTTTCGTTTTCATGCAGTTAATTACATTATATATAAGGTAAATAAATAATTTCTGTTTAAATATAGCGTGGGTTTATCTGTCCTTTACCCATCCTGTTATTTGACAAACCATAATACCCTAATCATATTAACAATATCAACAAAACAACCTTAATTATCATCCAATCATAACATCACCATTTGTAATTCTTACTTTCTTCCACCCGCTCTTTTTTAGTAGTTGGTGCCATGTTCCTTTAGCTATTCTCTTTTGCCGTATTCTCACACCTTCCGAACCCCGAGCCTCCTGCACCACGTGTAGTCACAACAACAAGTGCTTTCGAGACTGAACTTCTTTTGCGTTCGTTGTCGGGTGATAAAGTAGGTTGTTTATTCATCGGTTGAAGTTATGATACTATTTTATTCAGTCTGTTGATGTATTTGCAAATTTAGATATGATATTTATTTTTTTCTAACAGTCTACAACAATCAAAAATATATTTTTACAAATAAAATTACTACAGTTACGTTCCGTGATATAAATTGTTTTGATAACAAAAAAAAGATTGGTAAAAAAAAATATAAGATAGAGAATTTCTTGGGTATTCTACATATAACCGAAAAAAAAAAGACATTTAATGATTAAAAAATCATTACACACACATTTGATTATATTATGATTACAAGAAATCCGTTTAAATACCTTACATGAAAAAATACGACTTTTTGATTTGATATTCAATTGTTTGATTTTAAGACAGCGATCGGAAGTGTGGA